AAAGATCTCGTAATAATATTAAATTCACTTTTTTTTCCTAGTAATTTTACTTTAAAAATCAAATTAATATATAGTTTATAATTTCATTGATGCGATAAAGTTTATCAATAAGTAGTAATTACTATACACTATTATTAATTAGTAAAGAGTTTTGTATAGAACTTAAAGTTCAAAATTTAATTTCAAACTTTAAAGTCCAATGCCCAAATGTTAAGTTCAATGGATTCAATGTTTAAATTAAAATATTTACTATACAAATACAAGTTTTAAGAATTGCTGAATCAAAACTTTACTTTATACCTTATATTATTAACCTAATAAGTAACAACCTAAATATGTAATGTAATGAGTTGTTAATTAGTTCATTAGTTAATTAATTAACTAATTATGAGTTTCTAATTAGTAGTTAATTTAAGTAGTAAATTAGTTACTCGTAACTTCTGACTACATAAATAATTTTGTATTTTTTAAATAAATTTATATAAAGTAATAGCAAAAAGGCGAAGCTATAGCCTAAAAGCTATAGCCTAAGACTCTTTAACCTTGGAAAGGTATTTTATAATAACCATGATTGATGGTTAACAAAGTGAAATATTTTGTACATTAAAACAAGTGTAATTATAGTATTATTATATACACTATATATTTATTTAGCCGGCATTTGGTCTGAAAAAAAGACATCTTTTGAACTTTCAAAAGGCGTTCAAAACGTTTAATGGACGTCTTTTTAAAACCAAATGGGGGCTGGGTAGGAAAACTGTTTGTTAAAAATTAGTAATAAAGTTAGATAGTTAGGATAAATAGATGCAAAAGATAGCAAACTTTAGATGTATAAATATAAAAACCTCGGCTTTAATATAACATTCCTAATAAAAATGATGGATGTACTTGAAATAAATATCTATCAACATTTAAGTGTTGATAGATATTTACTTCAAACCTCTAAAAAACTTCTTACCAACATACTTTAGTTGCATGTTTAAAATAAATTTTTATGAAAGGTACAGCCAAAGATTAAATGTAAACAACACTTGAAAATTGCTTTGGAAATGTAACAAACTCTCTAAATAGCATATTGAGGACCTAAAACAACGTCTGTCAAAAAGAATATAAATGTATGGTAAAGTTTTTAAGTTTATTTAGGCTTCAAACAAAAATAGATTTTAACTGATTTATCTTTAAGTTTTATACCATACAAAATATTGTTCAAGTTTTTTAAAAGGATTCTATAAAAAGATTGCAATGAGGTGATATTATCTTTATCTCCTTCGAGCCTATTTGCTTATCTAGCTTATCTGAGCTTATCTTAGTCCACCCTATCTGCTCTAACATTTTATTATCTATATATATATATATATATAATATATATATATATATATATATATATATATATATATATATATATATATATATATATATATATATATATATATATATATATATAGATGCTTTTATATAAAAGTTAGAAGATGAAAAAAAATTATTATTTCGGAGAAAACTTATTTTTATTATAAAACTATATACTTTATCTTATAAATAAGTTACAAAAACTTTATTCATAACAATGAACTTAAATGTAAAAAAATATAATGTGAAATTATACAAAATGGTGTGCTTCAAAAAAGAACTTAGGAAAGACGTAAAAACACATAAATAATAACAAACACTAGATCACAGAGAATGAGCATATCTTTGAGACATTAGCTATGACTTACCATTTTGATCATCTGAAATCCTTAACATTACAAACATTCAACCGATTTACTGGCATTTACTCCTATTTTTTCATTGCCGAAGCCATCATTTAAAATTTGGTTAACGCTAGAATCTGATGAAGATTCACTTTTCTCCTTGAAAAAGTCTTCTCTTTTTAGTTTCTGCTCCTGTATTTTTTTGGTAAGTTTTTTTCTTTTTTTTTTTTCTGTTTTCTTTTTTTTTAAAGGTTTTCTTTTCTTTTTTTAACTGTTCGCTTTGGTTCTTTTGTTTTAGTTTGAGTGGTATCTTTCTTTTTTAAACAATTTTCAAGTTCAAGTTTGTAAGAAGATGAAATTAGTTTGGAAGATTTTTGAGCCCTTTGTTCTATTTTTAAGTGTAACTCTTGAGGTTGGGCTTAGCTCTGATATCTCGATACTGCTGCTGGAAGATGATTTTGGAGATATCCGTAAATTATCAGATGACGATGGCTCAACTAGAGAAATAAACTTCAAGTTAACACTATCATGAAGAGGAAAGTCTGATAGTTATAAAATATTTCTTCTTCAGAAATACAAACTAGTTTTTTGGAAACCATTTTATTCATTTTCAGTAGTTGCTACCCGTAAATAAACTTTTCCAAAAATGTCACCTATATTTTTATGAGTATGTAAGCGCCCTGTACGAAGATGACTTTCAAATTCTTTGCAATATGCAGTTTTGAACCGTCCTATAAATGAAGTATTGAGGGGTTACATTTTGTGGCTTGTATGTGGAGGAATCGTAATAATTTCTACGTAATTCTCACACAGGGCCGGATTAGGAAATTTTTAGGCCTGGAGCTGTAAGTATAGGAGGGCCTAATGTGGCGGTAAGGTAAAAATGGCGAGCGTTAGCGAGGCTAAACCCGGGGGTCAGTGGGCCGGAGGCCCCCAGCCTCCGGAGGTTTGGGGCCCAGACCCCTCAAGTAGGAGGGTCATGGGGGAAGCTGCCCCCCAGAATTTTTTTTTTTAGTTAGTGAATTTGAACTCGCTCTCGCTGTAGCTGATACCGAGACACTACTTGCAGTATTACAAAACTCAGTCATTTTTTTATTTTTGTTCAATAATTCATTTAATTGAATCTCATTCTTCTTTTTTTTTTGCATTTTGTCCCAACCGCTCAAGCCGCTCCTTTTCATTTTTTATTTAACTTTTGTAAACGAATGAGCAATGCTGTAACTTTCTGCGGTAACGGAAGTGATCATAAAATAAAAAATGAAACTTAATCTCTATTCATTTATTTACTAAAAGTGAAATTCATTTATTAAAAAAAAAATTCATAATAAATTCATTATAAAAAAAATTCATTATAAAAAAAATTTCATTATAAAAAATTTATTAAAAAAATTCATTATAAAAAATTCATTATAAAAAATTAATTATAAATTCTTTATAATGAGTTCATATAAATTCTTATAATGAGTTCTTTATAATGAATTCTTTATAATGAATTCATTATAAATTCGTTATAAAGAAATTCATTATAAAAAAAAATTTCATTTATAACTAAAAATGAAACTATATCTCTATTCATTTATTTATTCACAACGCCTCCGCAGCTCCCAATAAATTGATTTAAAAAAACTGAGAAACATAGGAATATTTATCTGGTTCCCTAAAAAAAAAAAAAAAAAAGTAAAAAAAAAAAAAAAAATCACGGGCCTTAGGGCCTACTTTTTTTATAAGGGCCTGGGGCTGCAGCCCCATCCGCCCCCGCCTTAATACGGCCTTGTTCTCACAGGCTAAATTTATGACGTTCAGGTTTCTAGAATGGGAATAATGTTCATCCAAAACTGATCGGATAACTGGATCGAATTTACTCGGTTTTGTACATTGGATAACGTTTTGGAACTATTTGATTAATATACCCATTTGGATCCAGCCTGTCAATTGACAGGATGTAATATATCCATGCGATGTCCTTTTTATAAAAGTATTTTTCATACTTTTTAGGTGGAAATTATTAACGATGGAATAAAATAACCAATCGGATTCATGCATAATAATACAGTTATTAACTTTTCCCTCTCCTGCTCCTGCAGGCTAGTTACTTGTCTTTTACTTTAAACTTTAGCTAGCCTGCAGGAGAAGGAGAGGGGAAAGTTAATAACTGTATAACATGCATGAATCCTAATTGTAATTTTATTTCACCGTTAATAATTTCCACCTAAAAAGTATGAAAAATACTTTTATAAAAAAGGACTACTTTAAACTAAAGTACGACTATTTTGGTTATTTTGCGCTTTACTACATTGATCCCTGTTTTGTTGCAATTATTTTAGTTTATTATTTTAATTATTTTGTTGCAATAATTTTAGTCATGGCAGATTATACAGATTCTAGATTTTAACCATTTTTTCTAGGCAACTTCTTTGGCGGTCAAAAAAGTTATTTTAGTGTTATTCTTTCTTACTATTTGATAAGCCAATCTCCTACCCAATCTCCTAATATCTCCTTACATCCTAATCTCCTAATATCTTTAAATGATAAGCCGAAGTACTTTTTTGTTATAGAGGGCAGTGCTTTGCAAAATCTTATCTGGTGACAATTCTGGTTTCTTCTCCAAGTGAGTACATACAGCTTCTTCCTCGCTCTTGTCATATTTAGTACAGTGCAGTGGCGTACCTACGGGGGGAGGGGGGCTCATCGCCCCGGGTGCCATCCACTTTTAGGTGACACCCAATTTATTAATATCTTATATTTTATTTTGGTTTATAATTAAACAGTCTTACATAAAAAAATAAGTGGGTATTTATTTACACGACCTACGAAATGCTGAAAGATATAGTTATCATTATTTAGAAAATATAATCGCTTAGCTTTCTTCTTATAATATAAACAAAATGAAATAAAGACTTAATGTCGTCTAAAAAATTCTTCATAATCAAAACATACTCAAATTTTGTTTGGGTTTGGATAACTTTGTGTGGGTGCGATTTCAACCGTTTTTCACTTTATCAGCTTTCTTAGTCTTATTCGTATATTTTTTCAATGTTAGTACTGCATCCCATTGCAGAATATCAAAACCATCTAATTCGAACTAAAACATTCGAAAACATATTCTTTGTTTATGATAACTGTTATGATAATATGAAATATGGAGAATATATATAAATATATATGTTTTGTATGATATTCTATATACTTTATGTATTGTGTTATTTTGTTATAGACTAGTATAATTATAGCTCTTTTGAGCCAACATAATTAATATGGTTATTCTTTACAATCAAAAGAGCTAGAATATTATTATGAAATAAAAGAAAGATGGATCGATTCATGAAACCTGACAGACTTGGTATAGATCCAAACTCAGCAGATGCAGCAAAAACATACAACCATTGGTTAAGAACATTTAACAATTTTGTAAGTACAGTAGATAATAACTTCATTAAGCTTAATCTCCTAATAAACCATATTGAACCTAATGTATATGAATTCATATCAGAGTGTGATGATTTTGAACAAGCAACAAGTATTCTCGAGTCTATCTACATAAAACCAAAGAATGAAATATTTGCCAGACACATTTTGTCAACACGGAAGCAAAAACCAAATGAAACAATAGATCAATTCCTCAATGAACTTAAAAATTTATCTAAGGACTGTAAGTTCACTGCTGTTACAGCTGAGCAATATAAATCTGAAATGATTCGCGATGCGTTTATAAATGGCTTACTCTCCAATAGTATACGCCAACGTTTACTAGAAAACAAAATATTAGACCTTTCATCAGCCTTTGACCAAGCTAGATCTTTAGACGTGGCCCAACAAAACTCAAACTTATACTCACAATTGACTATACCTACCTCTGCCTCTATTCAGGAAATCAAATCACCTTTACAAAAACAGTCCATGACTGATAATCACTTAGCTGCTACAGCAAAATCAAAACAATTGTGCTGGTTTTGTGGAAACATAAGACATCCACGTACTAAATGTCCTGCTCACGAAGCTATCTGTCACAAATGTAAAAAGATTGGTCATTTTGAAAAACTTTGCAGATCATCTAATGTTTCTGCTGCTATTCCTAAAATTGATGATGATTACTTCTGTGCCACCATATCAGCTTCAGCAAACTCTCTATTCAGAGTTTGTCATAACATCATTATTAATGATAGATATAAAGCAGAAGCATTAATTGATAGTGGAAGTACAAACAAAAGTTTTATAAGCAACAAACTAGTGACTCTACTCCATTTAAATATTATTTATGAACAGAGTGTAATTGGAATGGCATCAGCTGCCTTATCTGCAAAATCAGATAGATATTGTTATGTCTCAATAACTCTTTAAAACAAAATCTATAACAAAGTCAAGTTGCATGTGCTGGATAACTTATGTGTAGATGTTATTCTTGGCACAGATTTTCAAGAGTTGCATGAAAGTATTACCATCAAGTATGGTGGGAAAAGACCACCCATAACATTTGCTGCTTTAATAACAATGAAAACTGAACCTCCTGAATTATTTGCTAATCTCACGCAAGATTGTCGACCGATTGCCACTAGATCTAGAAATTATTCTCAAAGAGATAAAGAATTTATTAAATCTGAAATCCATCGCCTGACTCAAGCAGCAATAATAGAACCTAGTAATTCACCTTGGCGTGCCCAGGTCTTAGTAGTAAATGAAAAGACTAAACGTCGCATGGTTGTTGATTACTCTGAAACTATTAATAAATATACTCAATTAGATGCATATCCTCTACCTAAGATTGAAACGATTGTGAATATAATTTCTAAATACAAAATTTATAGTACTCTCGACCTTCGCTCAGCATACTACCAAATCCCTTTATCAAAAAAAGATCGACCATATACTGATTTTGAAGCTGACAATAAGTTGTGGCAATATACTAGAATGCCTTTTGGAGTTACCAATAGATCTGCATGCTTTCAACGCAAAATAGATGACTTTGTTAGAAAATATAAACTAACTGACTGCTTTCCTTTCATTGATAACATTACAATATGCGGTAATAGTCAGAAAGAACATGATGAAAATCTACTTAAGTTCAGATTAGCTGCCATTGATGCTGGAATTACATTTATTGAAGAGAAGTGTGTATTTTCAACTAAGACTTTAGATTTTTTAGGTTACCGTATATCGTATGGCTCTTTAAAACCAGATCCTCAGAGACTTGCTGCTCTCATCAAGTTACCCCCACCTGATAATGCAAAGTCTTTACAGCGAATTATTGGAATGTTTTCGTACTATGCAAAATGGATAAGAAAGTTTTCAGATAAAATTAGACCTTTAAACTCTGTTACTCAATTTCCACTCAATCAGCAGCAAATATCAGCATTTGAAACATTAAAAAATGAACTTGTTCAATCTTCCATGCAAACCATTGATGAGAATATACCTTTAACTGTGGAGACTGATGCTTCTGATTTTGCCATATCCGCCACACTTAATCAGGATGGAAGACCTGTTGCCTTCCATTCACGTAGCCTTTAAGGGAGTGAACAATACTATTCATCAGTGGAGAAAGAAGCTCAACCGATAGTTGAAGCCATAAATCATTGGCGTCATTTTCTTTTGAGTCGACATTTCATTCTCATCACTGACCAACGATCTGTGGCGTATATGTATGATTATAAATCAAGCAGTAAAATAAAGAATGATAAAATAATGCGTTGGAGAATAGCTTTGTCTCCATATTCTTATGATATCCATTATCGTCCTGGCCAATGTAATAGTGGTCCAGATACATTTACTCGAGTTAAATGTGCAGCAATAAGTTCAGAATCTTTATATAATTTGCATGCTGCACTTTGCCAAAGTGCAGCATGAACTAGAAAGCAGAGGGAATCCTATAGAGCAAAGTACTCTGCCTCCTCGTAGATCTTCACGAATTTCTAAAGCACCAGAAAAACTCAACTTATAAATACACCTGAACACTTTTAAGAGGAGGGTGAATGTTATGATAATATGAAATATGGAGAATATATATAAATATATATGTTTTGTATGATATTCTATATACTTTATGTATTGTGTTATTTTGTTATAGACTAGTATAATTATAGCTCTTTTGAGCCAACATAATTAATATGGTTATTCTTTACAATAACAATTTTAAAAATTTTCCATATTACATATTACTGAAAGTTTTATAACATTTGTAAATTATAGTGACTTTGTAATAGATACATTTTGAAAAAATATAGTATATTATTGATTGTTTTAATTTTTCGTTTTTAGTGCTTAATAAATACCATTTAATTTAAAAAGTTTTTAGTGCTTAAATTGTAAGTTTTAAAATTTTGTTTTAATATTTAGTTTAAAGTTTTAAATATTTTGTATAACAATGCCGGGTGGGGTGCATAGAATGAAGAGATTAAGTGGACATCAACAAAGAAAATTAAAGGAAGCAAACTTAAATCCCTTAAAAAATATGCAGGGTCAATACTTCAATACATAGATAACCCAAATGACGGCCAATGTTCTTCAAAAGATAGTACTTTGATACAAACTCCATTAGTAGTAGAAGAAAGTGAAAATGAAGCTTCTAATAATAGCACCTTCACTGTTGCCATGGAAAAAAACGACCAAGAAAATGAAGCTGAATCTCTACAAGTATTAGAAACCGATTTAGAGAAAGCATGATTGAAAAACTAACTTTAAAATCTTTTCTGACGTCTCTTTTTGGAAATTACCGCTTTAAGACCATCTTCGAATTGAGATTATTAAAAATGGAAGTTCTACATTTCAAAACAAAGATGGACCATTTAATGTAGTACAATGAAATGTCACTCAAATGAAAGGCCATGATCGTCACCTTTCCTCTGTATGGTTTTATAAACAAATGAAAAATAATAAAAAAATTTTACGTTCATGGATGGTATATATATACCAACAGTGGAAATTTATACTGTTTTTGTTGTCGATTATTTGCCAGTAATATTACCAATTTGACATCAAAATTCGTCACTGGGTTTCAAAAATGGTGGAATTTAAACCCAAAAGTATATGAGCATGAATCATCTGACAATTATTTGCGATTTTTGGAAAAATGAAAGATTCTGGAAACAAATTTAAAATCTAATAATACAGTCGATGCCGAAATTATTTCTTTTACAGAAAATGAAAAGAAAAAATGGCGAAACATATTATATAGGCTTTTAGATGTAACTTGTTTCTTGCTAAGCAAAATTTGCCATTTCGTGGACATCAGGAGGATGAATCGTCTTTGAATAAAGGTAATTTTTTAGAATTAGTGGATTTGCTTTCAACGTATGACCCTATATTAAAGGAGCATTTAATTAAATTAAGGGAAAGTTATTCCAAGGTTTCGTATCTTTCCCCAAAAATTCAAAATGATTTTATCAGTTGTCTGGCAAGTCACGTAAAAGACAAACTTATTGAAGAAATAAAATCCGCGCGATATTTTGGCATGATGTTTGATAGCACTCCTGATATATCTCACGTGGATCAAATTTCTGAGGTGATCAGATATATTAAAAATAAAAATAAAAAGGTAGAATTAAAAGAGGCATTTTTAGGATTTTTTCCATTAAAAGGAAAAAAGGCTCTGGACTTAAGTACTGAAATACTTAAACAATTAGAATCTGATGGGTTAGATATAATGATGTGCCGCTCCCAGGGATATGATAATGCAGCTACAATGGCTGGAATCCATGGAGGTGTACAGAAAATTATTTCTGATAAAAATAATAAAGCTATTTTTAATGGATGTATTGATCATTCCCTAAATTTATGTGGTCAGCATTCTTTTGCAGTAAATGCATCTTGCGTCACATTTTTCGGAACAATTGATGCAATTTATTTATTTTTTGCTGCTTCTACGCATAGGTGGGAAGTGTTAATAAAGCATACCAATATATCAGTGAAAAGACTGTCGACCACGCGTTGGAGTGCACATTATAACGCCGTAAAACCTCTTCAAGTGAATTTTGAAAAATTTATCGAAGCAATTGAAGCTCTTTGCAGTACCAATGAAAATTTAGATACAAGAGGAGCAGCTGAATCTCTTTTGCCGGCAGTGTGTCAATATTTTTATGCTTTTTGTACTTTTGGCACGATATACTGGAAGAAGTAAATAATACTCAAATTTATCTACAAACAAAAGGTCTATCTCTTGATAAAGTTATAATAAAAATAGAAGCTCTTAGTCTTTTTTTAAACGAAGAAAGGCAAAATGTAGTTGACAAGACACTAAATAAAGCACTTTGTGTATCAAAAGAACACGATATTCTAATTGAGAGAAGAATAAGATTGAGAAAGAAGATGGCGGGAGAATTGGTATGTGATACTAAACTCACAATAGAAGAAAAAAATAAAAGAACTATGTCTAAATGTTGATTTTCAAGCTAGATCAAAACCATTAAAAAATATTTTAGATATGTTTGAATGTGTCCAAGCTAATTTTTTAGTTTCTAAACATAATAATGAAGAAGATTTGACGTTATCTATTAAAAAATTAACTTCATTTTATGATGAAATATCCCATGATGAACTAATTTTGGAAATTCTACGACTTAAGCGACATCTTAAAGCAGCAGGAATTAATTTGGAAGTAGTTAAAAATTGGACAGCTTTAGATATTTTGACTTTCATCACAGAATGGGACTTCACAGAAACGCTTCCAATGCTTTCTCTTACCTTAAGATTATTCTTAACTATTTGCGTGTCCGTTGCATCATGGGAAAGGAGCTTTTCAAAATTAAAACTGATAAAAAATTATTTACGATCAACTATGGGCCGATCAAGACTTTCTGATCTTGCAATATTATATATATAGAGAGTGAGTTTGTCAAAAGCATTGACTTTGAAAACGTAATTGATAAATTTGCAAGTTTAAAAGTAAGAAAAGGAACATTTTAAAGGTTAAGTGTTATGAAAATTTAGGATAATAGTTATATAATAATTAAAAAATTTAGTTAAGTGTTTGAAAAATTTAGTTTAGTGATAAAAACATTTAGTTTAGTGATTAAAAAATTAATTTAGTGATTGAAAAATTTAGTTTTATGATTGAAAAAATTAGTTTTGTGATTAAAAATTAGTGTAGTGATTGCATAGATAATAAAAACTATACAAAGTTCAAACTTTTGTGCATATTATTTAAAAAAATATATTTAGTACATATAGATAATAAATAATTAAGTACATTTATATGTTGTTATACATGAACACATCAGTGGCATAGATTCATTTATAGGACAGATCTGCGTATTTAACAAAGGGTAAGTGAACGTTTAACTTATTTTTCACAGATAAGAAGTTAAAAAATCAGTAGGTTTGCTATTTTATTATTATACTTTACTATCAAATCAAATCCAGGTACTACTGTTTTTTTAAGCATATAAAAGAATAAAGCTGATTTTAGACGATTTTAGATGATAATAATTTATTATCGTCTAAAACAGAGATAATAATTATTTGACAACAATTTATTTTCAAATAATTATTTTCTCTGTTATAGACGAGAATTATTTATAGAGAGTTATAGACACTAAATAATTATTGTCGAAAACAACGTTTAAAATTACACGTGTCAACGTTTCTAAATACTGCTTTAATAATTTCGTATATAAAAATAATTGCATATAATATATGGGTGACACTATTTGCCGCCCCGGGTGACACCATAACTAGGAACGCCACTGGTACAGTGTTCCAATTCAATTTGAGGCACATTAAATAGTTTTCTGGTTTTGAAACTACCCATTTGTTTAGCTCACGTTGTTACGATAAAAAAAAAAAAAAAATTATTTTATTTTAGGTGTTCTGAGAGTCCTTACGGTCTTATCACGGAGCGCCGCGGATGAGCATTTAATTGGAACTTCACGCCTCCTTTCTAAGCGATATCGCAAAAATTGCCTAGAGGTGGGATTTGAACCACGGATCCCTTGTTTCTGAGGCAAGTGTGTAAAAATTTAAAAATATAACTTATGTCAAATAAAAAAATTAAGTCAAATAAAACTTAAGTCAAAAAAATTAAGTCAAACAAAAATTAAGTCAAATAAAAAATTAAGTCAAACAAAACTTAAGTCAAATAAAAAAATATTGTCTCCTATTATGGGAAACCCCATATTAAGTAGCTGACAATTCACTAAATAAGGCGATATGAATGGGGTGCAAATAAATTGAATTTTAATAGTAAGATTTAGTTCATTAGCAATAGCATAAGTAAAAATTAAGAATTTATTGCGCAAGAGTTTATTATTTAAGAGTTTATTGCATGAGAGTTTATTGCGTAAGAGTTTATTGCGTGGGGGAAATAAACAATATAGCAAGATTTGCTAAAATACCACTTTTAAAGTTTACATTTGTCACAAAGGGTTATCAAATAGAACATAAATAAAACTTTAAAATTTGTAAAAACTTATGCAACGTTGAAACTGTTAAACCAACTGTATTACGCACGTTGAATCTTAATGTAACAGGCGTACAAACATATCGCACAGCACAAAAATAAATTTGAAACAAAAATACATTGTGAAAAACTACGCGACAAATGTTCGCTCCTCAAGCTAATATCTCTCCCAATAATAAACTACTTTACCCTTTATACCCACGTTATTCAAGTTAACATAAAATCTCGGTAAAAAACAAACAAGTAATAAATCTTTAACGCAATTTTTTTTGGAAATTAATGCAACGTGTTCTTACGAAACCATAACGTCGACGGCAACCGATACTTCTTAACAAAAAAAACATTTGTAATGTTGCGCATGTATGAGTTTAGGGAAAATAACTAACTCACGTTCTAATTTTTTTTTTTTGTTGAGGTGAATTTTACTCTTTATATTTAAAATTTGAGTTAATAAATATACAACATATTTATAAATAAAAAAGAAATTATAAAATGCCTTTTATAAATAATTTAGCAAGCGTTTAAGGATAAGATTTATAAAACAAATTACATATGTGCGAGAAAGATGAAACAAGTTATATATGAATGGTTTCCAAAACGAAGATGTGGTGTAGTCGCCGTTATCTTCAATTGATGCTCATGTAAAACTAGATAAGACATAAAATAAGTAGATAAAACATAAAATACAGTTCAAAAAGTAAAAAACAGTAAAACTAGCTTTGAATCTTAACCTCTAATAATGATCTTATCAAAAATAATAAGTTATCCAAAAAAAAATTTAATCATGTAAATTTATAAAAATCAAATAAAGGGAATGGAGTTGATGATGATGTAAGTAGCAATATAATAAGTAAATCAATATTTTATTTAACCAATCCGCTTTTGCACATTTTCAACCTTTCTTTAGAACAAGGGATCTTTCTTGATAAACTAAAAGTTGCGAGGGTGATACCAGCTCAAAAATCTGGAGATGCAACTTGTATCGCAAATTACGGACCTCAATACCTCTTTAAAATATTTGTACTTATTATGTATAAAAGATTGTACTATTTCTTAGATGTTAATAACATTTATATATAATAAATCATTGGGATTCAAATAAGGTCACTCTACTGAACAGAGAATTGTTCATCTTGTTAATGATTAAATCTTTAGATGAAAATAAATACTTTAGGCATTTTTATTGATTTCAGCATGGCTTTTGACATTGTAAATCATTATATTTTATTAACCAAATTAGAAAACTACGGTATTGAACACTCGAACCTTAAATGTTTTAAAAGCTACCTGTCAAATAGACAGCAGTATATTTCTCATAATTACGGAAAAACTAACAGTATGAATATATTCTGCGGAATACTACAAATATCTATATTAGGACCGCTCTTATTTTTAATATATATTAATGATCTTAGCAAATCTTGTAATGTATTTGACACATCCTCGTTTGAAGATGATACTTATTTATTTTATGCTCACAATTATATAAAAATGTTGTTTAAAACTGTAAACACAGAATTACTATACCTTGCTATATATTTTAAAGTAAACAAATTATCTCTAAATTTAACTAAAACAAAATATACTTTTTCCTATCGCTATTATGAACGAGACAAAGTTCCATTAAAATTTCCAAATCTTTGCATTAACAATTGCAAAATAAAAAGAGAAGTATCATACCTCCAATTCAATCATGTTTTCTATATCACTTTCTACTTAGTATCATTTCAAAATTAGTATCATTGCACTTTTTTTTGAAGTCTAAATTAGTATTAAAATTTAAATTATTATTTTTGTTTTAAAAATGCGTACATACATTTTTGCTGTTTAATTAAGCATTATTTAAACTCGCCGTAACTTCCACACCGATTGAACAAATCTAATAGTCTTTTTGTTCCTGTGTCAGATTCGTGCTTACTCTCCAGAGTTGTTAACAAGGCCAAAAGTATCAAGACCAAGTCCAAGACCAATGCCAAAAGTTACAAGGACAAGGAAAAGACCAAGAGTTTAAGGTCAAGGCAAAGATTAAGAGTTTTAAGGCCAAGGCCTACGCAAACATTTTCAAGACCAAAGACTTCAACTTTTGCCTTACGTTAAGGCCAATTGTTAGTACAACTGTAAGTAGCAAGTGCTGTGACAATAAAACCACATTTTATAAAAATAAATAAAAGTTATGGGCAGAATTCAACGAAAACAATAAAAAAAAATATTTATTTTTTTTATAGTCACGGCCAAGACCAAAATTTTCAAGGCCAAAACCAAGGCCAACAGTTTCAAGGCCAAGGCCAAGGCCAAGGCCTCAATTTTTGACCTTAAGCAAGGCCAAGGTCAAGGCAAAGAACTAACAACTCTGTTACTCTCAAATCTGTTATAGTTGGCTACCGTGACAGTTTGACCTCGAATAAATAGTTATAAAACAGAACTCTCAAAGGAATTACTTAGAATGTAACTGGAAATTACTATAACCAATCGCGCGGGCAACAAAATATAACGGGTAATGTTATTCCAGAATAAAGAACACCCTAGAACACCCTCGAACACCCTAAATGATTTAATGCTTTGTATTTAGTTAGATAAAACCTAATATCTTTTTAAAATGTTGTTTTTTGCAAAACGTACGAGAAGCAGTTTTATGTAAAAACGCGTATAAACAAATGGTCGCTAGTTTTATTAATTGCATTAGTTTACTCATGGACGTATAAGACGTATATACGTATAAGACGTATATATCTCGTTTTATTAATTGCATTAGTTTACTCATGGACGTATAAGACGTATATACGTATAAGACGTATATATCTCTTATACGTCCATGGTTTACTGATAGTTGCATAGTTTTATAGGAGAGAAAATCCTTGTTATTTTTGTTTTTTTTTTCCTTTCGTTTTTTTAATTTTTTTTGAAAATCTTAAAGAAAAGTTTTGATTTAAGAACAAATACTTTCTACGTTTTTCTACGTTTTTTTAAATCAAAGTATATCAACTTTGACTTAAATTTTTCAAACTATATTTTGAAGAAAATTAAAATAAAGAAATATATGTACTTAAAAAGAGTGTCTACCTCTTTTCTCAACAGCATTATTAAGTTTTTAAATGGAAGAATTTTTCTTAAAAACTTGACTTTGAATTAAAAAATTTTCTTCTAGTCGGTTTTTGTTTGATTTAGGACTTTGTCCCAGGAGCCATTGCGCTTATAGTAATCAGCAAATTTTACTCGCGCTTATCAAGATAGATTTTTCTAAGGATGGTTTGATGTTGTCGCAAGATACTTGTCACAAGTACAGTGCGAAGACGATAACTACAATGAGTTTGTTTATACGTTCATTAAGTCAACATCATTTTATTAGTCTTATTATTCATTTTTCTAAAAAAGGATACGGTTTTGCTTACTTAGCCATTACTATGATATATATAAATCGTGATCAAAACAACTTGAGCAATATGGAAACAAAATGTATAGAGAATATATAACTACATAAGTGTTTACAAAAATACTTCATTAACGAGCTGTATGTCAAGATCAAACATAACAATTATTACTTATATGACAAGTTATATATATATATATATATATATATATATATATATATATATATGTATATATCTATATACATATGAATATATATATATATACATACTAATATATATATATATATATATATATATATATATATATATATTATATATATATATATATATATATATCTATATACATATGAATATATATATATATATATATATATATACATATTAATAGATATATATATATATATATATATATATATATATATATATATATATATACATATGAATATATAAATATACATATTAATATATATATATATATATATATATATATATATATATATATATATATATATATATATATATATATATATATATATATGTATATATCTATATACATATGAATATATATATACATAATAATATATATATATATATATATATATATATATATATATATATATATATATATATATATGTATATATCTATATACATATGAATATATATATATACATATTAATATATATATATATATATATATATATATATATATATATATATATATATATATATATATATATATATTTATATATATGTATATATATATATATATATATGTATATATATATATGTATATATCTATATACATATGAATATATATATATACATATTAATATATATATATATATATATATATATATATATATATATATATATATATATGTATTTATATATATATATATATATATGTATTTATATATATATGTATATATATATATATATATATATATATATATATATATATATATATATATATATGTATGTATTTATATATATGTATATATATATATACATATATATATGTGTGTGTGTGTGTGTGTGTGTGTGTGTGTGTGTGTGTGTGTGTGTGTGTGTGTGTGTGTCTTATTGCTTTTAATGTTATTTGTATTATTATTGTTTAGTCAGTGACTTGTTTTGATATAAATAAAATTGTATAAATGATATTGATAAAAATATAAAATGATAAATTTGATATAAGTAAAGATTGCACCTATAGATTGTAGCAGCATTTCTATAAGTACAGAAATAGTTTAAAAATGAAAATAGTTCTACAATACCAAAGCATTTAGGTAAAATTTATTTAAAATACATCAAGAGATTACAGTTGATAAAAATAAAAGTTCACTGATTGTTTTCTTGTTTGTTTGTTTTGTCTAAATTGGGAAAGTCAAATAAAACTAGATATTATGAATTCATAGCATCAGTAGTGATCTTTCCAATAGTGGAACCATATTAAGTTTTTGTTATTTTAGGCTTGTGTGGTAAAAAATCCAAAAAAAATTATTGTCAAAAATTGTTTTGTTAACAAATTTAGTTAACAAGAATGAATTAGCCTTGTAGAGCCGTCCTTACTTAACATTTGCAGAGATTATAGAAACAAAAGCTTGACCATATGATAATTAAAAATATAGTTTTAGTTCTATTAATAATTTTATTAGTAGCTACATCTGATAATTTTGGTCTTTACATGCTACCAATGACAATGTGATTTGCTTATTTTCTTTATTAACATAAATTTTAAAGACATTCTCGCTATCTTATGTATGTTGTAAGGCTTCAAAATAGATAGCAACACTGTTTTTTAACTTGTCATATAAAATGTAGAAATTTTCTGGTACTTATCAATTATGAGCAGAAAAGAAGTGATCAAATCTCCCAGAGCATTATATCAGCAGTCACAATCAAGTCTTAAGTTCAGTTGATAGTGTCGTGTGAATTTAGATTTGTATAAAAGCAAAGTTAGTTTTAAAATGGATATTTAGTGTTGTTTTATGTTAGACATTGGCTTGATTGTGTATAGTGGAGAAACAACATTATGAGAAACATCCAATCCCTGCAAGAAAAGAAGCAAGGATACTAAAACTAAGGTTATAGTGAGTTTTAAAAGACACTTTCTTGGTACTTTCAAAAATCATTCTTTTCTAACCGTTTTGAGTATCTATCTTGTCTTTAGTGACTCTGTGACCTTTGGAAATTTGAATACAGAAAACCCTTTTGGATAAGTATTTTATGTTCAATATTAATAAAGTTTCAAGTATATTTTAATCTGATTTATATGCAGATGAAACAACATGATATGTAGATCAATACATACTATGAAGTTTAATTAATTTACTACATTTACATGCAGATTAATACATGTTATATTCTATACAAAATAATTTTTTATTTAGTAAACTATATAAATATATTTAAAAAAATGCCTCCAGTTATGAATGGAATTGTACCCCCTTTGGTAAGATAATTTACTTTATAAAATTTTATAAGATAAATTACTTTATAAAATTTGTTTATAAGTTTTATATAGGGTAAACAATTGATTAAATGGCCAAAGTTGCTTTTACAACCAGAAATATTAAAAAAAAAAAAGTTTACTTTTATGCTTCTGAATTTTTAACCAGAAATGTTTTTATAGCATTTTTATTACTTGAATGCTTCTGAATTTTTACAGATGGCAGAACAGTAAAATCTATTATTTTATATTCATATTTACCAACTTAAATGCTAAGATTCAACTAATTTTTTCAAAAATGAAGTTGTTATGTTTTAAAATACAATTAACTTTGTATATTTGACTCGTCTTTTTTATTTATAAATATACAATTACTTTATATAAAAATATATTAAATATTCATCGATGACACCAAGTCTCATTAGTAGACACAGTCTACTAATGAGACTTGGTTTTTAATTTTAGAGACTTCTAATGATAATCTTTACAATTTTTATAGCTAAAGAAATTTATGATTTTGAAGTTTTCTTGGCTTTTTAAAGACATAAACTTATTAAATTACTGCAGTAATATTAATTACTACAAAACTATCAAATATTATCTAACTCATTTTTTATTATTACTATTCAGGAATTTTTTTTTTTTTAACATATCAAATAATTAAATTTAATACTACATTTTTAAAAATGTTTGATATAAACAAATTTCTTTCTTTTCTTGACATTTGTATAAATGAATTAAAATATATTAAATTTTTTTAAAAAAGATTATTTCTTGAATATCTAATTGCAGCAAAAAATGATTTTTTTTTTTTTTTAAAAATTTGAGAGTAACATAAAAAATTATGTTAATTTTAACTTTATTGAAAGTTTATTATTTTTTTAAAGATTTTGTTGTGAAAGCAAAAATTATATTTCCTAACACCATTTATTAAAATTATATTGCTGTAATACTAATATTACAATTATTTTTTTAATAAATGATATATACAGTGTATATATCATTTATTAAAAAATAATCGCTATGCTTTAACTTGCATTATAAAAAAAGTTTAACTTATGTTTTATGCAAATTTTTGATGCTACTTTGTATCCCAATTGTTTTTTTGGTTATCCTTTCAAGACTTTTTTATCAATTCGATATTAAATTTTAAATTTTATTTAAAATTTAATTTTGAATTTAAAAAAAATGTTTCAAAATGATAACCAAAAAAACAATTGGAATAAAAATGAGCTTTTTTTTTTTAAGAATTTTAATATTGAATAATTTATATTGAATATTTAATATTGAAAAATTTTAATATTAAACAATAATCAGTTATATTTTAAAATAAATTTGACAGTCAAGTAAATCCAAACATTAACTTAAATTCTAATAAACTTAATAAAATATGTTTTTTAAATTAAAATTAAATTTTTTTCTAATGCAATCAAAAGTTTTATGAATATTCTTGTGCTCGCAAGATAATAAATAAAAGTTTTTATTATATAGTTTTTATATAAGTTTTGTTTTTGTGTTTTGTTTAATAACTTTGTATACAAAAGAAATTTGTCGTTAACTATAAACAATTTTGTTTTCTGTTACTAAATAGTTTGATAAAATAATTAGCTTAATAGAGATTAAGTGTTCATAGTTTTTATTTTTATTTGAGTTTTTTTCATTAGTAAATAGCGCTTATATCTAACATAATTATCCTTCAAACTTTTGTAACAAGCTTTTTTACATAATTGAATTCAATTTCAAATCATAGCGAAATAAGAACAATCTTTAAATTTGATGTTTAAGAAAAATAGTTGCACATTTTATATCTCTGCTTATTAAAATCATTTCAAAAAACTCTCATGCATAGCTATTCAAACTGCGCAACAAGTAATTTTAAATTAATCTATATATCATTCATTTGTTGCAATTTGCGGCAAAAGTACGAGAAAATAAATAAGATTTATAAAAAAGAAAAACAAAATGAAAAGCAAATTACAGTTGAAAGAAAAAATGATCTTAGTTAAATACAACAATTATAATTTATGTGGTAACTAAAAACATTTTATTGTTTTATTATATTATTATTAAAATAATGTATTAAATGTTTTTATTAAAAATAATAAAAAAATAATATCAATCATCTATAAAAACAAAAAGGATTTTTACCACCATTTTTACCAATTTGTAAAATTGGTAGCGAGTCGTTAAAGCAAAAAGATGTTAAAGCAAATTTCTTCTTTATTCTTTTTTTAACAAAACAGCCCAGTTTTTATCTTTATTTTTCAAAACTGTTGCATTAAGTTAACTTTTTTTTTAACAGTTTAATTTGATATTTTATTAACAATTTTATATTATTAATTACTACTTTAAGCATATTAAAAAATATAATAAATTTGTTAAAGTGTATTGTTAACACAAAGATCTCTTGCGCATGCAATCCATCTTTGTTTTAGCATTATACTTTATAAAATTCATAAGATAAAAGATAATTTAATTTATAATGAAACTGAAGAGGAAGAGAATCATCAAGAAATTAGAGGAATGTGATAATTTATGCACTAAGGAAAGCCTTATTTATGATATTAGTACTTTGTTGTTAAAATTTGTAAAAATTTTTAAGTCTTCAGAAAGTCAGAATCGATGACATTCTTCAACATCAAAATTTTCAGTCCTTTAGAAAAAGCTTTATTTTTATATTGTAAAATGCAATGGAATAGCCTTATTAAAATGCAACGAAGATTTTATGAAGTTCGCAAAGAAGTTAAAGTAGCAAATCTTGAACTAGAATTTGATGTTTCCCATAAAGAATTGGAAAAGATTAAAGAACTAGGTGATGCTCTTGCTCCCATTGAGATGGCTGTAGAATATTTATACAAGGAAGATGTTGATCTTTTGCCTGCTGAAAAAGTTACTAAATTTGCTGCTAAGAAGCTGAAAAATCAAGAGATATTAATAAGCCTTGCTCTCTTAAAAAATTTGAAGTCCAAATTCTAGAAAGAAGAAACCCCAATCTTGTACACAGAGCAAAAGAGTCAGTTTGGTCTAAAAATAAAAAAAATAATGAACTATTTCTGGCTACTTCACTTTTAAACAGACTTTATCCACAGAAAGCAGGTAAAGAGCTACCAGTTGATTTTGAAGTTACTAGTACAACTAATCAAACTTTAAAAATTGATTAAAAAAAAATCCTATTTAGATGAATTTGCTTCATTTATTCAACAACAGAACATTAAGCTATCACCGTAGATATAATTGGATCTAAGAGTTAAAAAAAAAAAAAAGAGATACGTTTATTTGAAGCTACTCATGCAAAACCTAAAAATCTTGAAAAAATTTTTTAAGTTATATTAACTATTAAACCAACATATATGGAGCCTGGAAATGAGCTTTTTCAGCCACAGGATTTTTTGCCACGAAAATAAGAAAAAAAATTAAGAGATAATACCCTTGATGTATTGATTTTAATGCGTCAGTTGTACAAAAAACTTGTACAAAAAAAGAAAAATATAGTTTAAAGGTAAAAGTTATAAAACTTTATTTTAACCTTTCAAAAACTTGTTATTTTTTTTTAATCAAAGTTGACTGAATTTACACCCCATAATTTATTTAATGGCTGCTGTAACATCTAATTAATAAAATTATCTGGGTAATACCCCGGTATTAATTACATTTGATACAAGCGTTATTTACTAATGAAAAAAAAATCAAATAAAATTAAAAACTATGAAAAAATTTAATCTCTATTAAGCTAATTATTTTATCAAAATATTCAGTAAGAGAAAACTAAATTGTTTATTTGTTATTAGTTAATAGTTATTGTTAATAGTTAACAACATTTTTTTTTAATACAAAGTTATTATTATTATAAATTTCTATGTAATAATAAATAATATTTAATTAATTAATTTTTTTATTGTAAAGATTGACTTTTTCGCTTGAAAAGCATTAATACTTTAAGCTTTAAGCAAAGAACATTATAATATAATTTAATTCTGATAAAAAAAAATGATTTAATTTTAAAATAATTTAATAAAAACATAATTTTATTCTGATCAAAAAATATATAATTTAATTTTGATTTAATATATATATATATATATATATATATATATATATATATATATATATATATATATATATATATATATATATATATACATACACACACACACACACACACGCACACACACATATACATATACAATATTTAGCATTAAAGCTGTAAAAAAAAAAAAAAAAAGGTCCTCAAATTTTAATTTACGGTCGATGCTGTTGATAACAGTCTAGAGTAGCCCCTGATATATATACAAGGGCTATTTTAGACCGTTTTCGACAGCGTTGACTGTATTTGGGTGCTAATTTTGGCACCACCCAAATTAAAATTTGAGAACCTTATTTATTTTTTTAAAATGTTTTTTATGGCAAATATTGTTTTTCAGCTAAATTTTTCTTATATGGAGGGGAGGGGTACCCAGGCTTCGGCAGGAATGACGGGCTATAGCCCGTGTCCGTCTCCGCACCCGTCTAAGTCAGTTTAGACGGGCGAAATAAAGCCCGTCTGAAACATAAGTTTTGTGTAAAAAAAAAGATGAATATTCTGATGTTTTTTTATTAAGATACTCTTTTAAAACTTCTCTCATGACATAATTTTAATATGGATAGCAAACTCCAATTTATAATTGTTGATATTTAAATATAAAAATTAAACAATTTAATCATTATTGTATAACATGATGTAGAAAATAATATAACTAAATCTTACAGTTTTTTAAACGACGATAACTGTTTGATATAATACCAAACAGTTACCATATTATGTTCAAAATTTAATAACTATTATATTAAATAGGGAAATATACACATGTGATGCACAAGAAGTATCATGTTGTTTTGGTTTTTCAATGCTTATAATAATAACGATAATAAACTAATTATCCATGTATTTCGCTTTTTTCCGATAAACTAGTTTGTCTTACTTTAAAGACATTCAAAGTGATATTTCCGCGTTAACTTCACGTTTTTTCTTAAAGAGACGGCAATTTATTTAATATGCAATTATATAACTCGTTATTGAAAATGAAATATCTCATTAAAAATCAACAAACGTCTAATCAATTTTTGTAGATAATATAAATAGTGTTGCTTTATAGTTATGAAGTTATTCAAGTTATCCAGTCATTCAAGTTTTTCAAGTCATTCAAATTTTTCAGTAAAGATAGTAATGGCATCATCTGGTAGAAGAGTTACATTAGCAACATTTTTGAGTTGGGGTAAAGATGGAGTCTGTGGAAAAGAAACTGAGGTGGAGAATGGAACAATTTTTGTTGTGAAGATATGGTGTATGGTTTGTATAAAATATAAAAAAGAATTGCTTCGCGAGTTAAAAGGTCTGGCAAAATCAAAAGCATTAGCATTTATAGAGGGCACTATGAACGTTAAAGCTAGCAACATACATACGCTTATATACATGCTTATATTGCATATAAAGTAACGGAAGCCCCGGTATCTTAAGAAATTATTAGTACTTCTAAATAAAAACTTATTTTATTAAAAGAAATTAGATTTCAAATTTTTTATTCACGTATCAGAATAACTATTTCCGATCAGGATAGGCATAGGTAAAGGAAAGTTATAAAAATATAAATAACAGTTTAAGTTTTCAATTTGCACGCCCAATAGAATGCAAGAGTATATAAATAATTGAATTTGAAAAATAACATAGTTACGTATCATATTACCATGCTAATACCAAACAATTCTAAAACTATCGAGCTCATTGATTCAAGGTTAAACAAAAAAAAAGATTTCAAACTATTTGCTGAATAATTAAAAAAATTAGATTTTGAAAATATTATGTAATATTTTTATTCACAAAGAATAAGAGAAACGAATGAACTAAAAAAGCACGATAAAAACCTGTATAATTTAATCGAATATTTGAATAAAACAATAATATATAAATATACTCAAAAAGACTTCGGTAAAAAAACACGTTAGGATGCTTGAATAAGGAAACGTGATGAAACGCCATGGTTGTTTCGAGGATTTTTCCCGTCGTTTTCACGTTCATTCGTTTGACTATATCTGCCAGATATTATCTGGAATAAAGATTAAAAAAAAAAAACATAAAAAACTGAATAAAGTTCCTTCGAGTAAGAAATCTAAACAATAGCAACCATAAAACAACTAACCCACGTGAAACGAAATTAGATCTGTGCAAGTGAAAACTTTGAAAAACAATTATTGAAATCTTAGTTTTAAGTATTATCCAACTCATTTACTGCAGTGTTTTAATTACTTAAGTAATTAAGCATTTTAAACAGTTAATCGCTTTCTAACATATTATTTTAGTGCAATTCACAAAATGTTTAATATTCAATGACATTTTCATTCAAAAAGAAGAAGAGAAATTAACAAATTTAAAAAAAAAAAAGTTCAAACTTTAGAATTTATTTTAAAGTTTAAAAAAGCCCGTGCAAGACCATCTAGACGGGCGGCCCTCATAGCCCGCCAAGTCTATTTAAGACGGGCTTTTCATAGCCCGTACGGTTTTTATTCCTGCCGAAGCCTGGGTACCGCTAATTTTATTCCTAGAATAGGCCCTGATATATATATATATGTATGTATGTGTATATATATATATATATATATATATATATATATATATATATATATATATATATATATATCAAGCCTTGTTACAAGATTTCGCTGCGTAACGGAAAAGCAAAATGTGAATAAATGTAACTTTACTCAATAAAGATATTTACATTGTTAAAAGTTAAATTATGTCAGTTGCGTTTTTACTTAATCGTAATCAAATTTAAAATGACATTAAAAACTATTGTTAGTCTTTGAAACAAAATAGCTTTAAATTGAACAATGTTGTTATTAAAAAAAAAAAATTAATGTTGATTAAAAAAAAGTCTTGTATTAAAATCTTATACTTATTTAAACTTAATTTTTTTGCTTTTAAACATTCGTTTTAAGGGTTGTTTTTTTTTTATATATTTTTTTTAAATAATTTAAATTTAACACTTGTTTATGGTTGATTTTCTTAAAGAGATTTAAATGTACTTAACTAAACGCGTAGATTGGGTTTTCCCCTATTAAAAAAAACGTTTGCACTAACTGGTTTTGATAAAATAAATATTGTAAAGAAACAAAATTTACTGCTTTTTCAGCTTTGTTTTTTTTTTTTATTTCCATTAAAATATTTTATTTTTATGTACAGTGAAACCTAATATTTTTTTACTCGTTTTCGGTTTTAAGAAAAATTTGTTTTTAACAAAAATTTGTTTTTAACAAATATCATTATAATTTTGAAATTTATGTATCTTATATTTATAGCTCTAGTACTAGTTTTGTTTTTAAAATAAAATAAAGATAAGTTGGGCTTTTAAAGAGTTTATTTACTGATCACGTTATTTTTAATAGGTTTGAATTTTGGTTTGTTTTATAAAAAAAATTCTTCGGCAAACGGCAAAGGGAAAACCCAAACATAACATTTATAACTTGAGTTTAAAAGTATTAACGTCATTTATTAACTATGTAGTTATGAAAAATGAGTAATGCGCTTCTGTAAACAATGAATGAAACTGGAAAATAATGCGGTTTTGTTAAGCGCATTATTCAGACCAGCATTTGGAACTTACCTGAAACTTAACTGAAATTAAAATAAAGTTAACTAACTATGTAATACAAACATTTTAAAGTAACTTGAATTAAATTTATTAAATCTTTTTTTACTTTAGAAATTTTATCATAAAAAAAACGGAGCATTTTAAAATTAAAAAATTTTAAAATGCTCTGTTTTAAAATTAAATTAAAGAATTTTAATTAAATTTAATAAATTTATTTACTAAAAACTATAATTAATAAAAAAATATTTAAATTAAATAAATTAAATAAAATAAATTGAAAATATTTCTTTTTTTAAATTTGAATGTTTTTAAACTTATGAAATATAAAACTTAATATTAAATATGATAAAAAGTTTAAACTTAAAACACTTATTTTTTTAAAACTAATTTTTAACAACAGCAACAATAAAAATAAAACAAATTTTTCTTTAATGAAAGATCTATTAGTTTACAATTGCGGTTAAATGCTTTTACTTACGACTTTGTTTTCTTCTGAATAAACGTCACATAAATGATATCAAATGATAATTTAAATATTCTAAAAGATTAAAGTTTTTGCGTAATGCAAAACTGCTGAACGCGTAGGCAAATCACCTTTTCGCAGGTAAAATGCGAGCTGCGATGTTTCTTAACAAGGCCTGATATATATTGATTCTGATATAAAAATTAAAAAAAAAAAAAAATTTGTTTAGATGCCCTTAGAAGTCCTTACGGTCTTATCACAGAGCACTGCGGATGATAAGACTGTAAGAACTTCTTAGGGCACCTAAATAAAATTAAAATTTTTTTTTTTTCAAATCAGAATTAATATATATATATATATATATATATATATATATATATATATATATATATATATATATATATATATATATATATATATATATATATATATATATAGAGAGAGAGAGAGAGAGAGAGAGAGAGACTTGCCCAGAGATGGGGTTTAAAGATCCTTTGTTTCAGAGGCAAGTGCGCTACCACTGCACCACGGCTGCTCAAATTTTCAAGTTTTAAGTTTATTAAAATTAAAGTTAATAATTGGGTTCAAATTTATTTAAAAATTTTACTAAAACATGATCAACATTTAAAAATTAAATTACTCAAAATTAAATTTTAAACGTGTTCTGAGGTTGTATCAAAAATTTAACTATAAGATAAATTTATTTTTATAATGCAAGTAGAGCGCAGCAATTGTTTTTTAATAAATGATATGTAAAATGATATATATTTTTAACAAATGATGTTTAGAAAAATAATTTTTGCTTTCACAACAAAATCGCTAACAAAATAATAAACTTTTAATAAATAAAGCAGATATTTATTTTTTACTCACTATTTTTTTAAAAATTTAAAAATAATCAACATATTTTAACTCATTTATACAAATGTTGAGAAAAACAATTTGTTTATATCAAAAAAAAATTTAAATGTAATATTAAGTTTAACTATTTAATATAACAAAAATAGTGTTAGAAAATAAACATTTCCTAATTGTAATAATAAAAAATAAGTAATATTTACTTGTTTTGCGGAAATTAATGTTATTGCAGTAATTTAAAAAATTTAATGTCTTAAAAAAATAAAAACATAAAATTTTATGACATCAAATTCACATAAGTTAGCATTTTTTTATTTAAAACAAGGCCTGCAATATTACATTTCTAAATAAATTCTTTTTAGATATCATATTATTTTTGTTTTATAATTGTTAATTTATTTTTAAAGGTCCAAAAGCAAGAAATCACTACTGTTTTTGTAGGTAACATTACTGACAAAGCTTCTGACACTCTAATTAGACAAATTCTGATGGTTAGTATTTTTTGAACTCATTTTAATGTGGGTGTCTTTAAAAATATTTCAAATTTTTTCATTTCTTATGCCAATTGAAGAAGTCACTTGACCGGTAATTGAGGTAATTTTTAATGAAGTATGTTGGATCTGTTAACAAAAGTATTACATTTGCTTGGAAAAAAATTTTCATTTCTTTATTCACATTATTACAGGTATAGCATTTTTTATTGCATAATAGAAAATATAAAAGTATGAAAAACCTTATTTGGTTTTTTCTTTTAGAAATGTGGTTATATTGTTAGTTGGAAACGTGTTCAGGGTGCAGCCGGCAGACTTCAAGGTTTGGCTTTAATTTAATTTTTTTATAATCGTAATTTTGTAGCTGTATTTAAATGTCTGAGGTCTCTAGGAGACCTATCTGATAAGTTTATAGTCTTTAAAAGAATTTTAATTTAGAATATATCTGGTAGGGTGGAATGTATCTAAAATTAAAACATTACAAGCCTTTAATAAGCTATATAAGTTAACATGCATGTTTTCTAGCCTGTGGTAATTTAAATATAATTGTGCTCAGTTGTGAGGCCAAAACTTATAGATTCAGATATTTTTGATAAAACTATAAAAATGTTCCCATCATGATTTAAGCTATAGGTATAAAGAATGAAGTTATTTTACTAATTTAAATTTAAAAAAACATTTTTACCATCATAGATTACCAAAAACATGTTTAATTTTAAGTGCTAGGGTCATATATGGAATCAAAGATGGAATTTTTAATTAAAAAACATTAAAAATTTTAAAAAACATTATTTTTATTATTAATTTCATCTGTTTTTAATTTTTTTTAAGTTTTAAATTCAAAATTTAATTTTACAATTTAATTCAGTATATTAATATTATGTTCATTCAATTTTATTTTTCATTATTTTGTTATTTATTTTTATACTTATGTTTTAGATTATATTTTTTTATTGTTTATTTGTTGTAATTAATAAAGTAGATATATTAAATTTAAACAACTTTAGTCATAAAATTTTTTTAATCAAATAGTTTATTAACATAATATGTATTATTATTTTGTACTTTATTAATTATTAAATATCAATATTTATAATTTTTTTGTTTAAATGTTTTTTAATTCAATTATTTTAGTTATTAAGTTCAATTAATTTGGTTATAATATAAAATAAAAATCAAAGTGCAGTTCTGCAAAATGAAAGCTACTTTAAGCTGACTCGATAATACCATATGCATTTGCAAGAATGATAGTACAGACTTGGGCACAAAAACATGTTAAATAAGGCAACAACAACAACAGCAACAAAAAACTTTCATTGCTATAAACAAATCTCTAAAAAAATCCTTGAATTTTTTGTGTGTAATTAATTAAATTTAAACTTTTTTAGTGGATTGGAATTGAAGTCTTTTGACAATGTAATATAATGGCTATAGCCTTTCCCTCTCCCCCATCAATAAGCAACAAAAGTTTTTTTTTTCCTATTTTTATAAAACTCTGAGGATATGATTTGAAGACTCGTGTCATGAAATCTTTTAATCTAGAGAGTAAAAGACTAAATACTTAGGGCTTGAATTCTTATTAAAAAGTTAAAATCAAAAAGAAACTTGTAACATTTTTTTTTCTGGAAGTATTAAAAATGCATGTTATCTAAAAAATTACAATAGTTACAAAGTAGGTAAAGACTCCAAATTATTTTAAATCTTTATTACATTTTAAGAAAACCAAATTTACCAAATCTCTTTGACTAATTGAGAACGATGGAGACACATGAAGACTCCTTGGCTGAAAATCTGTTCAAAGGAAGTTGATGTTGCTGGAATGTACAAGGTTTTTTTTGATATTTTGTGCAAGCATAAAAATCTTGTATCTTCCTTATAAGACAGAACTTATGCATTTTTGGTCCAACCAAAGTTAGAATCGTTTTTGTTTTCCATTTATAGTTGTGCCAAACTTATAGGCAACAATTATTTGAATTTTGTCTGTTAAATATTAAAAGTTTATTTCATTATATGTCATATATATCAAATTTATATTTTTCTTTGGTCTTTTTTTTTGGTCTTATTTAAAAAATTTTTTCTCATTTTAGACAGACTGTTTATAAATATTTAATACATATTTGATCGGTGTTAAAAAAACGGTTTGTAAACATATACATATATATATATATATATATATATATATATATATATATATATATATATATATATATATATATATATATATATATATATATATATATATATACATATATATATACACATACACACACACACACACATATATATGTATACATATACATATATATGTATTCTACTGTTGCAAAAATAGAAGTATCGATATTTCAACTAAAATGTTAATACTTCTGTTTTTGTTAAATTAGTAGAGGACAATACTTGATCTTCTCTGGCATATCCTATCAGTCACAAACTATACCAAACCTCTACTTAATCTCTTAAGCTGATTTCTTTTTAGACTAACACTACAAATCTATTTAACTATTATCTTATCTCTTTTCCAGGCACTGCATATAATCAACCTTTGTAGTTTATTTACTTCCATACATCGTAACACATGTATGACAGCATATGGGTGTATGTTTTTTAAAGTTTTTTTAAAGCATATGGGTGTATGTTTTTTTAAATGTTTTTTTAAAGTTTTTTTTGTTTAACAATTCTTTGCTTCTAATTTTGATAATAGAAGTAAGGGCTCTTTTATCTTAACTTAGGCACATCTTTTGCTTTCAATAATTTTTATGCTCAATCTACTGAACCAATAATATCTTATAAATGATAAAAATTTATTAATGGGTTCCAACATATGGTAAGAAACTAAATTTTTTTTTCTTTTATTTTTATCCCTAAGTTCTGTTGTTTTGATTGAGATTTCATGATTGAGAACTGTAAATTATATAAGTTTACATTTTTTAGAAGATTTACTTAGAAGGAAAAAAATTTTTTTATTAACAATATTGTATTCATTTATTTATTTTACATCTATAGATAGTAATAAAAATGGTTACTAATGCTTGAAAATATGATTCTTGGATTCAAAAATGATGTTTTATTTAAATAGTTTTAATCAAAGTTTAAAAAAAAAATTTAATTAGTTAATGTTTGAGAAATAAGTAAATTTGCGATTCTGAAAAAAAAGTAAATGTTTAAGATTGTAAGATTCATTGTAATCATCAGCTAATATTCTTAGCTAACAAATCAGCTAATGGAATAATAAAATTTAGCTAATAAATCAGCTAATAAATTATTTGTTTATTTAAAACGAGTAATATCTGAGCTCTCAATTATAAAAAGTTACACCAATAACTAGTTTAAATAGGTTTTTTTTTTTTAGAAAATTGTTTGAAAAGTTTTTTTTTTACTCTTTAATTTCTAGCAACTTTTAACTAGAATAAAGGTTGCAAGCATCTTTATTGGCAGTGAGTTTGTTGTTTTTTGAAGCAGAAGTTTATAAATAATAAGAATAAATAATAAGGGTCTTATAAATAGCAGGATCTTGTAAATAACAAGAGTTGTTATAACAAATATTGTTGTAAAAACAACAATTTTTCAAGTTTTTTTTTTATCAATTAAAAATAATTTTATATCTTTTTGATAAAGAAAACATTTTTTTTCTTTTATTAATTAAAATTTTTCAAATCATGTTACCATCAAGTCATGTTTTAATCGCCTTATGTCAAGTGAGCCCAAACCAAACAGCTGTAGTCAGTCTTAAATGAGTCAGCTTTTTAATTTTCTTTGGCAATTGTCTCTAAACACTTGTTTGATCAACCTGTTTGGTTTGGTGACAAGAGAATAATATTTTAATTTTTTAACTTTTATTTGTCTTTATAAAAATTTAGCTCTCTTTGATTGCTTAGACTGCGAAGACTCTAACTATCTTTTTTACTTAAAAATTAGTTCTCTACTTTAATAATTTATCATTTTGTACTGATGTTTTTAATGTAGTTTTGCTCATTAAATTTTCCATTTTTTCCTCTATTTGTTCAAACACTTTTATCAAAGATCTAAAACATGTTGGAAAGTTTTATCTATTAGTTAACATGTTAAATTAAAGCTGAGAAAAAATTTTTTTGGCAATTTTTTTTTCCTTATATAAAAGAAGCATTTCATTATTTCAAAAGCATTCTGCATTACACAATAATGTATCATAATGAACATTATTATGATGTCATTAGTATTTTGTGGAATTTTTATGGCTATTGTAAATAGATTTATTTTTTTATTTTATTTTTTCTTTCAGCATTTGGTTTTTGTGAGTATTCTGATCCTGAAGCTGGTCTAAGATCAATGCGGTTATTAAGTGGATTTCAAATTGGCGATAAAAAGTTGCTTGTAAATATATTATACTATTTTAGTCAAGTTGACAGTTACATCAACATAATTTTTTTACTTGATTGTCAATATAATAGGTAAAAGTTGACTCAAAAACTCGATCACAGTTAGATCGTTATAAAGAACAAAAGAAAATTGAAAAAGAAGTTTTGTGTGATTCTGGTGAAAATTTGGATGATTATGATATTGAATATGATGAGGAAACCAAAGTAAGCATATAACATTTGAAAAAATAATTGTTTAAGAATCAACTTTTTAAGAACCTCTTTAAAAAGTATGTAAAATTATTGTTTAATAGAAACAAGATGATGGCATTCGTAAAGAAATTGAAAAGCTTATTCGTGATAACATGTCTGAATTAGATAGTGGTAAATTTTCATTTATAATTTTTATATTTATTGTATTATTCTTATTTGTTAATTAATTTTTTTTAATTTTAAATTGATTTTTTTTTTAATTTTGAAAGGTTAAAAATAAACGTAAAAAAAAACGTATTTAGTATGGGTCTTTTTTTTTTAATTTTGTATTTAATTATTTTTATTTAAGGAATTTTGCAAACTTTTAAGAAAACTCACAGTGGTAATGCAGTAAGTTGCAACATTATATATATATACTAAAATATTTTTGTGAATAAATTATATAGTTCCGAGCTGGTAAATTATAATAAATCTATTTTTCTTTTTGCATATCCAATTATTTCAACTCCTAAAAGCCTGAAAAAATAATAATTATGAATTTTGATTTCATCAATTTTTAGCAATTGATAAATTTAAAATTTTGAAAAACTTAACAACACTTTTAACACAATTCAACAACTTTTAAATTAACAATTAACTTTAATAAAAAATGCAAAAAGCGTTATAATAGCTTTGTTATCTCTCCCCCTCTTGCCTTTATAGTAGCAGTTGGTGTCATTTGTAATTTAGTACACACAAAAAGTGCTGGTCAGAATCTTATTAAGCTAGCATATGCCATAATGGTTTTTCACTCTTGGAAAAGAGTGTTTTTCCTATCCATATTTGAAAAACAAGAAAGATGAATAAGTAGCAAAAACAAAGATAATTAACTGTCTTCTTGAAAAAAAGTTAAACTTTCAAAACTTTCTCAGTATAATAATAAAAACAAGTTAGAGTTTGAAAAGGGAATCAACTATCAATTAACAAATGTTAGTTTCTGATTGGTTTGCAATGATATTATTGATTCTTCTATTATGTTGATTACAATGCATGCAATTCAAGTTATCGCAAATTATTTGTTGAAAATAAGGAATTAGTTATGATAAAAAAGTTTTTTTATCATAACAAATTCAACAATCAAACACTTTTTCACTAGTTGTGAATGCTTTATTTAACCGCTTGCAATAAAAATATAAACGCTTAAATGTTCACAATTAGTAAAAAAATACTTACGCACATGCCAGCAAAAGTGCTAACTTAAAGGAGATACCTGTAGTAGCATTAAAAATAATAAAAGTGACTAGCATAACTTGTCAGAAATGCATCATTATATATTTTATGATTGCCTAAATAATCTAAAAAGTATTTAAGTAAATTTATAATTATGCAAGTATCAATGATCGAGTTATGGTTTATATCCTGTAGAAAAAATAGTCAAACCAACAAGTGGTCATGGTTTGCCAACTATTTATGAATAAAGTTTTTGTTTTTAATTACAGGAAAACCTGGAAGGTTTAGACATGAATGATGATACAAAAAATCTTGTAGCAAAAGAAATAAGAGGGTTCAGGGAGACATACAAAGTAATTATTTAAAGTTTCACAAGCATATTTTTTGTTTATAATATTTTTCATATTTTATAATTTTTATTTTTAACTTTTTCTTTTCCTTTCTCTTCTGTTGTTATTTAGGATGAACGAAAAGAGAGGGACAAAGAAAGAGAACGAAGTCGAGAAAAGGATAGACATCGTGATCGAAGTAAAGAAAGAGAAAGAGAATATGAAAGAGAAAAAGAAAAGCAAAGAGAAAAAGAAAGAGAACGCGAACGTGAAAAAGAAAGAGAAAGAGAGCGGGAACGTGAGCGCGAGAAACGAAAAAGAGAAAGAGAAAGAGAAGAACGCGAAGAAAGAGAAAGTCGTAGTAAACACGAAGAAGCAGAGGCGCCAATAAGAAGTTCTAGGCGTTCTAAATCACGCTCTCGTGAGAGAGATAGAGGTATAGAAGATAACGATGAAGAGTATGAACGAAGAAGGATGGAGAGAATTAGAAAGGATAAAGAGCATGCATTTCTTGAGGTTTTCAAACTCATATTCTAAAGTTTTTTTATTTTGAAATTATTTATTATAACATTTTTAAGTAATTATAATAACATTTTTATTTATCTTATATATAACATATAACATATTATTGAATTATTAGAAATTAAAAGAATGGGAAATACGCGAGCGAAAGAGGGCTCGCGACTATGAAAAGCAATCAACTAAAGAAGAACGTAAAAGAACAGAAGAAGAAGAAGAAAGAGCTCATCTATTGGAATTTTTGGAGGACTATGATGATGATAGAGATGATGTTAAATACTATAAGTAAGAATGGCTTCTAAGTCTTTCAATTTCTTTTTTAATTTACTTTTTCTCTTCGCTTTTGTAATTGTAATTTTTGGAATTCTTAACTTCTATTAAGTATAATTAACTAGGTAAAAATTTGACTAGGTAAAAATTTATAATTTTGAATATTAATTAATTTATAAGTTTAAATATTATAATAATTAGCAGTAAGCAGCCCATAATAGGTTATTAGTAAATTATATTAGTAAACTTAAAAAGGTTAATTCGGCTTTAACATATATGAGTTAGGCTTTGAGAGTTACAAATTTTATTATAAAGTAAAATAACAACAGTTTGTTATATTATCTGAAATACAATACAATATAAACTTTAAATAATTTAATTAATGATGAGGTTTTAAGACACAATTTAGATTAGAATCTGATGTAGCTAATTGAGGAACAAATTTTTTTTTTACGTTATAAAAATCTGTCAAAACCTCTACATTTGTAGAACTATTTTGGAAAATGCAAACTTTTATGTGTTTAATTGCGTAGCTTAGCTTTAGGATCTAAGTTTTTAAGTGACATACAACCAATTTTCAATTTTAAACATACCTGAAGGAGTTAAGCTGCTCAAAAATCCAATAGGAAAATTAATTCTTTCTATAAAGTTGTCATTCCCATTTTAATCAATTCTTAAATAAGTTTTGACCTCTCCTGGAAGATAATTAAGTGCTTATTCATTAATTGACATTGAGTCTGCATTTAACATCTACTAATGTGTTAAAATCTTTTGACCCACTTATGTGTCAAAATCCTGTGATTTGAACACCTTAGTGGGTGTTGAAGTCACATGATTGCCATGTCTCCTTGTTCAACATCTCAAAATATTTTTGCAACAAAGAAGTTTTTTTAATAATCCACTGATAAATTATATCTATAGATCCTTTAAGAGGATCATACTGTTTGACAAGTATTGTTTTAAGAAAATCATACTGTTTGACAAGTTTTGTTTTACTATCTAATTTTAGTAGTCATCGGGAAAAAAAAATTTTAACATTTATTTTCTTCACTTAGTTTCTTGTTCAAAGTGACAATAATAGATTAAATGACATTAAATAGTGGTCTCATTTGATTGGTTGTTAAACAATTTGATTAAAGTTTCATTCAAAGATATATTAAGTAGGTAGATTATAATCAGTTTGATTAATAATTTTTTTAACATAACTAGGAATAGCTTATTAAGTTGAAATGAGCCTTGTATGTAATCCAAAAATGCCTAAGAATCAGGTTCAAAAAAAAAGTAACTATATAAACTTTTACTTTAAGTTTAAAAAGGTTAGTTTTAGTTTTACTATTAGTTTTAACAATTTTTCTTCAATATTTATAATTTATACCAATTCATTTATCGAAAACAGAGGGAGTGCTCTTAGTCGACGCATGCGGGACAGAGACCTTGAGATACAAGCTGATGCTCGTGACAAACAAAGAGAGATGGAGGAAATAGAAGAAGTACTTAAAAAACAGTTAGCTGGTGAACCTATTGAAACTAAAAAGAGACGTGGAAATGATCCTGAGGTAATTTTTCATTTCATTTATTTTTCATGAGTTTTTAGAGATCAATTGAGAACTGGCGAGCTGCCAGGTTTTGTAAGTTTTTGTTGTCCTATATGAACTTCTTAACTTTTTCAATACCTTGTTTTATTTTAAATGTTTTTATATTCTGAATTTAACCATCAGCCTGTTTTGCTTAATTTGTGGCCAATCAAGTTTAATTTTAAATTTAATTTTAAAGTACAGTAGCTGTGTAATTCTGTAACTGTACTTTGTATATTACCTTTTTCGATTGTTCTTTAACTTTTTGTGTTTGTTTGCCCACAAAATATGCATATGTGAGTAATTGTTTTTATAAGATATTAGGAATCATTCATCATTCTTTAACAACCTCCTACAATTACTTGAGCAAGTATGGATGTGTAGCTGAAACACACTGTGTAATTTGAGCATGCTCATATTACATGGGTAATATGAGCATGGGTAATAAAAATTTTTGTCCTTTTTTTCCAAAAAAATGGAACAGGTTTCTTGTTAATATATTTTTCTTTTTGAAAATCTATATTTCAACATCATAATATCTATATTTCAACAACATAATATTGCGCCACACATTCTTTAATGTCTAATGATAACATTTTAACATCACAAAAAATCGAGTAGTGTTTTAATTATATGATAGCCGCCAATTACTGCATATAAATTTGCACTAATTATACTGCTTTTTATTATCAATAAGTCAATTTTAAAAATTTAAAACAACTTAAAATTCCCTATTCTTTCATATTACCTAGGTGCCTACATAGAAATCTTTCATATTACCTAGGTGCCTACATAGAAATCTTTCATTTTACCTAGGCGCTCATATTACTCTCTCTTGGCGTGGGGCAGCAATCTTTTTTTTTCATTATTCTTTGTGTTTTTCTTTTTTCTGAAAAATTAAAGCGAACTTTTTTACCTTAGATGCGCAAAAATGATAATATGAAATTTCAACCTAACATATGGATTAAGTGTGAATATATGTATATATATATATATATATATATATATATATATATATATATATATATATATATATAATTTTTTAAACTAGAAAACATCTATACAACAAGAACTAATGGAAATTGAAAGACAACAACAACCTGTTGCACCACCTGTACAGCAAAATCCTAATCTTCGACCAGCTTTTACTGCAATAAATGAAGAAGTAAGTGAAGATTCAGAATAAAAGTATTTGTAATAATTTAACAAATTAGATAAAGTTTAAAAGTATTTTTAAATTAAAACATAATAATTGAGAAAAGTATCTTCAAATTAAGACTTATTAATTACAAATTATTTTTTAAAAACAAACAAAAATTTTTCAAAACTAAAGTTGCAATAATTCTTTTTTTTTCTCTCCTGAAAAAAAGTTTTTTTATTTTTTTAATAAATTTATTAAAAACATTTTAATCAATTTTTATAAACAACTTTTACTTTATTTTTAAGTATTTTTTTTGATCAAGTTTTTTATCATTATGATCTAATATTTAAATGTTTTGTATATTTTAGACACCAGATACATCACCTGCTCAGCAGGATACTAATTCACCAAGCCCAATGAGCAGTCCATCGTTCACAAAATTTAAGCTTACCCCAGAGTCTAAAGGAGCTACACCGTCTCTTAAACGTGAACATTCTGAAATAAATGGTTCTAATGAGCCAGTGTCCAAAAAGTTTGGTTTTGGTATGAAAGTGGCATCAAATGTTGCAAATAAAAATAAGTTAGGAGCAGTTTTTAATGTAAATGAAGATGTCCAAGGTGCCAATGAAGAACCAAAAAAGAAACTATCTCGTCTCGATGAAGATCCTAAGAAAGAGCCGCCAACAGTTGATGATAAAAGAAAATTGATTAAAAATCTTATAGAAAAAATACCTACAGTTAAAGAGGATTTATTTTTGTACCCATTAAAATGGGAAATAGTTGACGAAGTAAGAGTGATTATTAACCATATTTAAATTATTTTTTAAATCAACTAAAAATTTGCTGAAATGTAAAGAATGTTTTTTTTTTAATTTTTAATTAATGTCATATTTTTTAAATAATGTAACAATTTAATTTGTATTACTTGCTTTAGACATTAGTTGAAAAACGGATTAAACCATGGGTTAATAAAAAGATATTTGAGTATATAGGTGAAGAAGAGCAAACTCTTGTCGAATTTATATGCAGCAAGGTAATCTTCTTTTCTTTAAATGGCTTTTTTTGGTATATTATCTATTTTTATATTATATTATTTCTTGTTGCCTATTACTTTTATATTGATTTTAATATTTCTTTATAATTACTTTTTTTTGTTGTTGTGGATTTTACTTTGCTAATTATGATTTAAAAATAAATTTAGTTTTTTTTTAATTTTATTTTTGATTGCTTAGGGAACCTAAAGTACTCTAATTTGCCATAAGGGTTTCTTATTTTTAAAAAGATTATTTTTTTTAAGGTACTAAGTAAAAGCAGTGCAAAAAATATCTTAGAAGATGTTGCTATGGTATGTCAAAAAATTGTTATTTCAGAATTTATTTTGGTCATCCTCTTATTTTCACTTGGTACTTTGAGATTATCAAAATGGGTACAATGATCTCAGTGCGATACATTGATGAGATATCAATGATCTCATTGCGATATTATGGAGATGATCTCAGTGCGATATTAGTGAGAATAAGGGGAATAATATTGAACTACTTTGATTCATTCGTAGGTTCAGTGGAAAAAATGTGTTGCTCATGCTGTTGGTTTAAGATGTAGCTCTTTACGTATGAATGAAAACTATTCTTTTTTCAAATCTAGATCTTTGCGATAAGAAACCTTTTTTCATTTTCTGTTTGAGTGCTGCAGTTACAGGTATGGCTGCCACTGCACTCAAGAACATCAAAAATAAATGACTGTAAGGTTTTTTAAACTTTATTAATTTACCATCGCAAAATTCTTTATTAAAATTAAGAATTTTACAAAGTTTGATGGTTTATTGCGTAACCATTCGATATTTGTCTCAAAGAAACAAATTAATTTATGCAGAGTAATCCTTGCCCCAAATATAAGCGTTGTTGCCACTGATCCTGAAAAGAGATTGAAAGCATCATTTTAAAATCACGGAAGCTTGAGAAGGTTTGCCAGGAATAATCAATCATTTTTATTTCAGCGATTATAAACTTGTGATAAGTATACTCGTTTAAATTTTAAAATTTTTTATTAACTATTAACTTTTTTTATTATATATCATGAACTCTTTAATATTAGGATGCATAATTGATTTTGAAGTTGAACTTGTTTTTAAGTTGTAAATGTTAAAGTCTACTTTCTGCTTGTTTTATTCAAGTACTATGATATTGTAATATGATACTTCGAGTTACATTATTTTTTTATTGAGTAATTTTTCAGCATTTTCTTAATGAGTTTTAAGTTTTTATTTTGAGTATTTTAAATTAGTTTTTTATCTGCAGGTTTTGGACGAGGAATCAGAAGTTTTTGTCGTTAAAATGTGGCGTTTACTCATTTACGAAACCGAGGCTAAATGTCTAGGATTGGTTAAGTAGCTAAATTTCAGGGTGTGTTTTAAGCTCCCTAGTTATATCAACATAAAGACAAAAATGGCGCCGATGTACTATTAAAAATATCGAAGAAAATGCTTCTTCTAACTGGTTATTAGCTAACAGGAGTTATGGAAGTTTATCACTATATTATCGTGTGGTTATTTGACACATGTATTTTAATCCTGTTTATTAAATGAAATATCAAATTTTCTAAAATGAAACTAAGTTTGATAAAATTAACAATGGGTTATTTTTGAGTTAAAAAGAAGACTTCGCTAATTTATAGTTAATAATAAAGACCTGTGCTAATTTATAGTTAATAATAAAGTGGTGTGCTTATAAAGCACTTGCTTATATTAAATAGATTTATTTTTCTATTGCTATTTAACAGAGCGGGTTACATTTTCATAACGTGTTTTGTTATAAAAGCCCTGAAAATTAAATAGATGCATTTAATTTGGTATTTATCTTGTGAAAACTTTAAAATGAAATATAAAAGCGTTTTGAAAAAAAAATTGTCATGTTGATAGTGTTAAAATCAATTCAGATAAAAAATATGTTAAATTTTATTAGAAATAAAAATCTCACAGTTTTTGAATTGTCTTTTTATTTGAATTCTTCTGGTCATTTTGATTACGTACCCTGTATGATATTGACAATTAGTTTCTATATTAAGATACTATTAAGTAAAATATTAGTCCATTTGGATATGCCTGACAATATACCTAATAATCAAATCTCAGATTTGATTATTAGGTATATCCAAATAATTGGCTATAATTTAATTTAGTGGCTAAAAACAAGTGATCGATCGAAATACTGCTTTGGTCGATCAAAATACCTAAAAAATCTTGTTTTGCAGGGAAAACCTCCCAGTTGTTAAACTGCACTATTAACTTATATCGCCAACTTATGTATTAAATCTCAATTTGGATACACGTGTAATTAATTCTAACATAATACGAGTATAATAAAATAACATGCAAAATTACAATAACATAATACGAATAAAACAACATGCAAAATTGAATTGGTGAGAAGAAGAACAGCACTACTCCATTTTTTGTTATTTGAACTTTTTTTATAATTTTATTTAAATTATGTCGATCTCTATGTACTACAAAAATGATACTATTCCATCTTTCTTTAAATATTTTTTGCCATAAAGTAGATTTAAACTATAACTGTTTAAAACTTAAACATTGGTTATTTCGAAATGAAAATATTGGATTAGTACTGTTTTTCTTTTCACCGATTCAATTGCATTGTTAAATAAATTTTTCTGATAAAATAAATTTTGACGAGCCGAAATTCGGTATCGATTTCGTAAAAAAAAAATTGCCGAAATATCGGTTTCGGCACCAAATTCAAGTATTTATTTCGGTTTCGGCTTTTTTTTTTTTTGTTTCGGTCGATCACTACTAAAAACTGCATTAAATAACGTCCATAAATTACGCTTCACCAAATTTAATACGCCATGCTTTCCATTGCAGTCTTCAACAAAAAAAAACTGTTTATTTAAAATGCTCCTATTTAAAGTGGCACACAACTAAAAGCAAGCTGTTTTTTTATTATCAAATTTTATTTTCTACGCTTTGAGAGATTTTGAAAGTTTTTCAAAAAAATGCAGATGCGTCACCAACTTAAAGCTTTTTGAGTCATTTTTTGTGATCTAATTTCGTGTTCACATAGGGTTGTGAACACGAAATTAATAATAAACTTTTACAAATTTTTAATCAACGATATAACAAATATAAAATAAGGTATCTGAAAGAATATCAAACGATCTTGTCGTCAGAATCTTAAGTAAGTTCAAACAAACATTTAATTAAGGTTACAACAATAATATTAGCTTTCTACAAATTTCCAAAGTATACAATCAAAAAAGTGCTCACTTGGATCTACTCACCAATATTTTATATAAACGTATACGTACCAAAATATAATAAAATGTTAAGTAAAAAGTATAAAAATCAACAAAGTAAGTAAGAATAAACTTTTTATAAATGTAAATAAGTAAAGCAAAAGTTAATAATTCATATAATTAACAACAACATAAAACTAATGAAAAATTAAGGTTTTTAATTTACTTTTATTATTTTATTATATATATTAATTTACTTAAAAAGACGAAAAGTAATGGGTAGTTCAAAATCAAAATTCAACAAAACAATTTTATCCCAAAGACGTGTCCAAACCTGATAGGCATTACGAAATTGATTAAAGTTCCTTTGACAAAGATTTAAAAAATCAGTATTTCTCAAATTACATTTGTTGATAGGTTTTGGAGTAAAAAAATCTTTGAAGACAGATGAGGACACGTCATTTTTCCACATGTATACAAAGCATAAAACATTATATATATTTAGCTCGTATATATTTAAAATTCTCATTTCAATAAAATTATAGTTGCGTGTGAGAAAATCATTTTGCAAAGCAGATTAAAAGGATTGCATGTTTCTGACGGCGATAAAGACGTCAATTTATATTTTTCTGTACTACCAGAGATAATATTAGCATGAATTAAATAACTGTGTATAAATGAGTCATAAAATTTGATTTATTTAGGAAGATTCGTACTTTATGTATAACTCATATTTTTTTTGAAATTTTCATGCTTATGTAATCGATATGATGATTCCAAGTGATGTTTTCATCAAGATAAACCACCTAAAAAATTTGTTACGGAATCTCTTTTTATTTCAATTTGATCAATAAAAACTTTAGGTAAGTTTAATGGTAAAAACCGCATTTTGGAAAGCGAATGGAATAAGGTCCACTTTATTTTATTAGTATTTAGAGTTAACTTATTACACTTAAACCAACTCGATACATGTTAATGTTCTTTGTTCATTGTTTTAAAGAGTTCAAAAGTAGCACTGTTAGATAGGAATAAGTTAGTATCATCTGCAAACATAATAATTTAGAGACTTTATTTAAATCATTAATATAAATTAGAAAAAGGAGTGGCCCAAGAATTGAGCTTTGTGGGGCTCCACATATTTTGACTAAGTAGTGCAAAGTTTGCTAGATTTTGCTATTTTACTGTGGTTACTTATTAAGAAGCAAGCTGTTCCGATTCAGGAATCAAAGTGTTCTAATTTTTGAAACCAGTTGCCTTGATTAGAACAAAATAGTGTTTAGCAAAACCGAATTTATTTCCAATAACAGTGCAATCACTTGAGTCAAACTATGGTTAAAAGCAGATTTGTTTGCATTAATCAACGTTTTTATAGTTAAGTCATTTTCGGGTGAAAAATATTCCTGCGGTTTCTAATTTCGGCTCTCTTCTATTATATTGTATTATAATTCTTTATATTTCTATTATAACCCTCCCTTATTGTGTTAAACAAGTCCTAAAAATTTTATAATCTGCCAAAATTCTGTTAGAGAAAAAATGAGTTTCAAAAAAATATCAAAACCCATGTAAGATGTAACTTTCACTTGTTTTTTTTTTACTTGTTGGTTATCCATTAAACTTTCTGCTCTCTCTTTTTTTTTTTTTTTTTTTGCATTTTTACTTTATCCGTTGACTTTGGCTTCATATGTCGAAGTCTGGTTTTGGCAATTTTACTTCTTGAAACTCATATGACAATTCTATTCAAACCAAAGAACTTTAAAACTTCTAAAAACCCATTAAGGCCGTCATTGTAATAGCATTACAGAGTATGTTCCTATTATAATAGTAGACTTATAAACAAATTTGTGCGTTGGTACGCAAGACCATATAATTAAATTTAATGCTCCATTGGCATTTTACGTTGTACCATGCAAACATTTAACTAGATGTTTATCAGCCTGAAGATCCTTAACGATTGGTAAACAAAAATTTAAAATCTAGATAAATTTTGGTTTGAAGTTTTCATCAACTTTTTAATTCTCTTGAACAAAACTAGTATAAAATTTGCTGGTTTTTAAAATTGGTGAAATAAAGTAAAATAGCATAAACTGCCTTTTTTATAGCATACAAGTTGTTGGCATTTTTAAGAACCGCCTTACCATAATAGCTTTGTATAAAATTTACACATTTTTTTGTTAGGTTACCTCTACCTAATATAGAAGTTAAAAAATTAAAAGTTTAAACTTGGATCACTATTCGAATTTTGAATTTATCAAAAATAGAAAACTCTGCATCAAGTATTTTAAAATAGAATCGAAACAAATCTAGATATAAACATATCTAGAAAGAAGTAATGCCAAAATTTATTTGAAAAAATTAAAAAGAATTCAAAAAAAATCTATTTTTCAAATTAAGTTTAAAAAAACAATGGCGATGTTAAAAAAAAGTTTTGAATGAATCATAATGAATGAAATAATTGGGAAAAACTATACAAATCGAAATAGTTTGATGTATAGAATTATTGTTAATGAAACGGAGTATAACGATAAGATTTCTCTGAAAATTTTAATAGTTTTTTTTGTAAACATTGACCCTAACATGGTTTCCGAAATTCAATGTTCAAAAACGTCTTTTGAAACCTATATTACAAATCAAGAGTTTAAATTTCAATAGACTAAATTATGAAGAAATAGAAACTGCAAAAAACCCGCTAAAAGTAAATAAAACTCCATTGACGAAATTAGTGGCAATTTAGTTACTCTTTGAAATATTTATACCTTTAATTATTACTAGATCTGTCCCAGATAAATTAAAAATAGCAAAAATTGTACCAATCTTAAAAACTGGAAATTCATTTACACTAAAAAACTAAATACCGACTTTAATTCCTCCTGTCATTTCAAAACTTTTAGAGCGAATAATTTATAATAAATTATATAAATACCTTTCATATAATAAAATCTTAAATAAAAACTTCGGTTTCCAAAAGTAACACACAACCAAACGGGAAACTTTAGATCTTGTAAATAACATAAATCACTCTTTTGTAAGTAAAAAAATTAAACCTGGAATCTATGTTGGTTTATCTAAAGCGTTTTCATTGTAAATCGTACAATCCTTCTACTAATTGTCACCTTAAACCGGCTCAAAAGTTTCTTGCTGAACAAACAACAATACGTAATTGCTTTAGACAATGTTACTTAAAATAGAATGCGGTTTCCCTCTTGTTTCTAAGATACATTAATGACCTCCCAAAAGCCTTAAGTAAACTTGATGTCGTAATGTTTGAAGATAATACTAATTTATTATATACGTCCACATCTGTTGCAGAACTTTAAAATGTTAATAAAAAAATCCCATCTTAAGCGCAGATAATTTCATGAATTAATTATGAACTTTT